GGCCGATTCTGATTTTATAAAACAAGAAAGTGAAAAACAAAAAGACAAACAAAACATGTAGGCTGGCAGGAAATACAGCAAAATCCACAGTGATTATTCATGGGTGGTGGGATTACAGATGATTTCCATGTTCTTCTTGCCGTTTCTCTGTATTTTCTGAATTTTCTACAATAAGCACGTGTCCTGTATATAATCAAAACCAAATAATCATGTATTTTGCAAAAAGAATGAGGGAATTTGGGGGGGGGGGGGGAGGAAGGACTTGCCAGGTTCATCGATTTGAATGGGATTCGGGAGTGCAGCTGAGCGTTTGGGGGAAAAGGCCCCCTCTCTTTCCCAGGAATCCCGAGAGAGAGACACTCGTAAATAAAAGAAAAGCACTCAGCTTCTTTTTTTATTTTTAATTACAACTTGCCCAGTCATCACCGTAATCACTTATCGGAGTCGGCACTGGGTTGTCTATTGTCTGGGTAGAGTTGAAAAAGAGGCAACTATTTTAGATGATCTATTCCTTATATACATTTTTTAAAAAAATGTATGAGAGTGCTGGTCACCCTGATTCAGAAATGCAGGGACATTTTTCTTCATCCTCACCCGAGGACATGCTGTGTTTTTCATTGAGCCAGGTATGTGTCCTGACTGGGAATCGAACCCACAACCTTTTGGTATACAAGATGATGCTCCAACCAACTGAGCTACCCGGCCAGGGCCAAATTTTTACATTTAAAATAGTGAATCTTGGTCAACATTGACTGAGTGCTTACTGTGTACACAATCTGGTGGTTGGCTCTGTGATGTCTTTGGTTCCTTCTGTCTTTTACTAGATTGAAGTAAGATTTATAGTTAAAGGACAGTTTTGTTCTACTTCCTTCTTTCTCCTCTCCCAATGCTCTCACAGTCAAGTTTCATCCTTTATGCAACTGAATAAAGGTAAAAGATGCTTGTTGCACTGGGGTAAATCGAGAAAGGCTTCTGTCACCTTCCCCTCATCCCCCAGGTCGCTGGCTCGTGGCTGTGGAGTCAGACAGCCCCGCTCAGCCTTGGGAAAGCTATTTCTCTGTGCCGTGGTTTCCTTATCTGTATAATGGGTATATTCCTAGTAGCAACCACCTCATACAGTTGTTGTGAGGGTCTAATACAACAGTGGTTCTCAACCTTCCGACCCTTTAAATACAGTTCCTCATGTTGTGACCCAACCATAAAATTATTTTCGTTGCTACTTCATAACTGTAATGTCGCTACTGTCATGAATCGTCATGTAAATATCTGATATGCAGGATGGTCTTAGGCGACCCCTGTGAAAGGGTCGTTCGACCGCCAAAGGGGTCTCGACCCACAGGTTGAGAACCGCTGTAATACAATAAGTGCTTAGCATGGTGCCTCGCACATATAACCTGGCAAACCAGCTATTGGTGTGCAATTGGGAGCTGCTTTCCATCACTGCGGAGGATTAGACATTTAAAAAACTGACCAGGAAGCTGAGCTACGATTACTTTCAAGGCTTTTCCAAATACGCAAACAAACATACATTTATTTGTTCAACCATCAATCACTGAGAGCCTCCTGGGTGCCAGGCACTGTGCTTGGCTCCTTGGCTTCTGCCATAAAGGCACAGACCCTGCCCTCAGGAAGCTCACGGTCTAGCGGGGAGTTGGGGGGATCCTCCCAGGAGACTTAGAAATGGGAGAGGAGCTGGGTCACTTGCAGCCCACCTAGAAAGGGGACCCAGACAGGTGACCTCGATAGAGTGCTGAGTTGACCCCACTCCCCCTCCTGCCTGTGCAGCCTCCTCTTTTGGGGTACAGTTCACAGAGCCATGTATTTCCCCACTGTCGACCCCTGGCCAAAGGCCAGAGAGTAGAAAGCTCGGCAAAGCCACTGTGCCAACCTGGCAACTCCTGGATTAAACCAGCTCCTCCTCTCCACCCCCCAAAAAAACTTTGTCCTAGGAGCTTTCTAGTAATTTCCCTAGAGCATAGGCCCCTCCAGGGCAGGAACCACATGGGTTTATCTAGATTCAGTGCCTGACTCACAGAGAGTGAGGGCCTACTATGTGCCAGACACTCTTTGAGGTGCTGAGGACACGAGAGAACACAGAACAGAGTTCCTGCCTCCGAGGAGTTCCCAACTAGCCGGGGCAGCTGAACAGGAAATATGGGAACACAAGACGAAGCAAACTCATAGTGGACACTCAGCCAGGGTGAAGTGGTGGAGAAAGGCTGGGGAGCTACTTTGGGGAGCAGAGACCTGAATGCTGCCGAGGAGGCAGCCCTGAGAAGAGCATTCCAGGCAGAGGGAGCAGTGCAAAGGCCCTGAGGTAGCGACAAGCTTGGTGTTTTCCAGGACAGCAAGGAGCTAGTGTGTTGGGGGCAGTGTGACCGAGGGGAGGCTGCAGGGAGATGAGGTCTAGGGCCAGGCACTGGCTAGATCCCGCTGACCAGGAGAAAGCGTTCGTATTATTTTAGGGAAAGCTCAGGAAATGCTAAAATGAAGCAAAGGAGGAGAAAAGCACCCGATTTCGGTCCCTGCCCGGGCAGTGGGAGTGGGGAACAGATACCGAGAGGGGGAGAGACTAGGGGCCAATGTTGGGGTGTGGTGCCCTCGCCTAGCCGCTTGCTTTGGTGTCAGTTTCCAGCTTGCCCACCCTAGATGAGGTTGCTTCAGGGGATATAGAAAGACCGGGACAGCGGGGAGGGGACTGACCAGCAAACTCCTCAGCCAGCTCCTCAGAGGCCTGGCTGTTTGGTTCATGTTTGTCCCCCCAGCCCTGGTAAAGATCTGCTCCCCACGAGGCTCGGAAAATGCCTTCTGGATGAACGAGTGCAAGCTGTTGCTGGAGGGGGGAAAGGGACAGAGGAAACACAGGAAGGGAGAGAGCACAGGAAGCGATGAGAGGTGGAGGGAGCACTGCATGTCCCAAGGAGCAATGACAATTACTGGCATTTATCGATCACGCTCTTGGCCCAGGCACTTTTCCTGCATTAACTCGTTTTAGCCTCTCAACGAGCCCAGGCAGTAAGTACTGTGATTACCCCCCATCTCACTGGTGAGGCAACTGAGGCACAGCGGGGTCAGATGCCTTCCTCAAGGTCGCTCTGCTGGTGGGTCGCTAGGGTGGGACCCCCCCCCCCCCAAAGCCCAAGCAGTTAACCACTTCTTCAGGCCGCCCAGGAGTGGAACAAGGCTCCTTGCCACTTCTCAGGTCACCTCTCACTCTGCCTCAGTTTCTCCTTCTGCAGAATGTCAGGATTGGGCTTGAGACCTCTGGGGCTGTGCGTTCTGCTGAGTCACCAGGCACAAGGGGCTGCTTGTAGGCCAGCAGCCACCTCTGGGAACGGAGGAGGCTTTGATGGGGGTGGGATCGGGGGGAGGGGGTGGCAATGGAGGGGGATGGGTCACTGGTCAATAGGGACTGTTCATTATTATTGATGTGTTGCTGCTTCCTGTTCATTATGGGGCGAAGGAAAGGAGAAAACTAAATGAACCGGGGAAGTGTGTCTCACCCCCAAATCTGGCCTTCCTGTGCAGACAGATCCTGAACTCATCCTCGTTCATTCCCGGCGGCAGAGAGACAAGCTCTGTGTCTGAGCTGGGTTCTTCCCAGCCAGTCTACAACAAGCAGAGACCACTCAGCATCTGAAGGGTGTGGGATGGGTGAGCCTCCTCCCCCAAATCTGGAGGTTTTTTTTGGGGGGGGGACAAGGCAAATTCTGGCCACCTCAGGGCCAGAGGACCATAGAGTCCCAGTCTCTAGCCATTTACCAATGAACTTCCGGCTTAGGCAGGCATGGAACACATCCCAGCAGATGTCTCTCTTGGACAATCACCACGCAGGGCTTCTGGTCACTTCCAGGCCTGAGAAACTTTGCTGAAACGTTGGAGATTAGGCCCAAACCCCACCGGCCTGCAACAGTGTTTCCCAGCCGGTGGCATTTTGCTCTTAGTGCAGTTCACTCTGTGTGGAGCACTTCTCAAACCTGTGGGTCACACTTGGAATTTTTATTCATTTACTCTACAAATCGTTTCGCTCTTTGGTCCATGTAGCCATTGTGCTCCATGTCTCACTTATCTCACCATCTGAGTGGTTCCCTCTTTCTTTCAGGTCTGACGCGATTTGCATCCTGTCCTTATGCAGAAGGAAAAACAGGTACAGTGACTAGCTCAGTCCTAGGGGGTTGGGGGCGGGGGGGTGGCCTGACCAAGAAAGGCAGGACCAGAGCCACTGGGCAGAGGACTGCTGCTGACCTCCAGGCTCAGCCTGGTGTGGCCACCTCCAGCCAGCTGGGAGGTGCGGGTGGGCCAAGGGGGGAAAGAGGGCGTGTCTCCAATGGTGTCTGAAGGTCCCCCCTCAAAGAGGCCCTCCCCTTTTCCCTGGAGAGCGGAGAAATTAGTTCTCCTAAGACACTCTTTATCCTATTGCCTTGTTTTATTTTCTTCACAGATCGTTCCGCTCTCTGAAATATTATTATTCATTTGTTTTAATGTCCAGCATTTGCACACACGTTCCCCTTCATTCTTCTCGGCCCATCTTGCTCGCTTAAGGATTTATTTCTCGCCCAACGGAATGAATGAAAAACTTCCTTGCAAAGAACAAGTGCAAAGCGACTACGGAACAGTGAGGCCCTCACGCTCCTCACATTTTCACTTGCAGAAAAGAGCTAGTTCTTCAGGAGAAGTGGCAAGCCCGCTGGCTGGCTCTCCGGAGTTCAGAACAGGTGAAAAGTAACCCACTCCCATCCCTTTCCTTCTCCCCCAGCTGCAGCGCCACTCCGCTGGGAAGTGTAGAAAGCTTCACCAGCCGCCAAAGGGAGCCGTGCGCTCGGATGCTCTTTGGCAGGCCGTGCCTCGGGGTGCGTGCAAGCAGAGCTCAGCCCTGGGAGGTGGGTGGGAAGAAACCAGGAGGGGAAGGTCTCGGGGTGCGAGGGTGGAGCGGAGCCCGGCCCCGCGATCCGGCCCGGGTTTTGCATGCCACCCAGTCGCCCGCCCGGCCGCGGAGAGTTCCATAATCACGGCGGGCGACAGCGGAGACTGGGAGCGAAAAATCCAGGATCCGGCAACTTTGGGCAGCGCATGCGCGCCCGCGGCGCTCCATCCCAAACACACACACACACATTTTTCCCCCGGACTTGGAAAGTCACCCAAAGCCGCCCCAAGTGCAGGTAAGAGACTCCGCGCTCCCTCCGCCGCGCCCCCCCACGCCCCGCAGCTTCGCGGGACTCCTGGGGTGCTTCGGCGCCTCGCCCCCTGTCCAGGTGCTGCCTTCCACCCCCCGGGGCTGCCGTTTGCAGCCCGGAGCCGGCGAGCGAGCGAGAGAGCCAGCCAGCCAGCCAGCCAGCCAGCCAGCGCGCGGCGGCTGCCACTCAACTCCGGCCGTGCGGGAGGCATGGGGCACGGAGAGCTGGCACCCCGGCGCGGGGTGGCGCGTCGCCCCGCCGTGGCCGGGGGAATGCCCAGCGCGCAGCTCCGGGGGAGGGGAGGGCTACTCCTGCTGGGGGTCACTTATTCCAACTGAGGGGGTGGCGGGGTAGGGGAGAAGAGGGGGAGGTGCTAGGCGCAAGTGCAGGACTTTGCAAATAGGGTGGGGGCGCCCCCCTTGCTGCGGGCTGGCGGGGTGGGGGCAGAGCCTTGCCAATACCGTGTAATCACTCCTTCCCCCCTGCGCTCCCCCAGTTGCAGGGGTTCCTGTGCTCTCCGGGGCAGAGAAGGAGACAGGGGTGAGGGGCGCCTGGGGTGACTTTGCAAGACTTTGCCCAGGGGAAGAAGGGGTGGCTGGGAGAAACCCTCCAGCCGACTCTTGTGCCCACTGCCAGGGTGTAGGTGCTGCCGGCAGAGGTAGGCAGTGTTCACTGAGGTGGAGAGTGTCAAGGGGGGCCTCCGGGTGGGAACACGAAGGCCAGAGGTGGTTTTGATGGGGGGAGCGGCGCCCCCTTTTTCATTTGTGCCTGGGAAGTTTGTCTCAAGCGCGCTGCTCGCTCGGGGCGCGGCAAGTGGCTCTCTTCACTCCCCCTACCCCCACCCCAGGCTCCCCGGGCACGGAGCTGGCATTACTGGGCACAGGGAGCCGGGGCACCGGCTCGGAGCCGGGCGGCTGTCTGCTGAGCCCGCCTGTGTCCGGGGAAAAGTTCGGGGGAGTTGCCGCGGTGTTGAGTGCGCTGGGAGAGAAGTTGTGCCCGGGGACGCGGGACGCTGGGCGGCCGGGCCGGCAGGCGGGTGGAGGGGTGCGCTCCCAGGGGGCTCGGGGCGTGGTGGGAGAGGGTCTGGCGGGGTCTCTGTGCCCCGAGGCTAGGCTGAGGGTGACATTGGGGCTTAGCATTGGGGGAAGAGGAGCCCTGAATCCAGGGGCGCTGCTGAAATAGGCACCAGGTGGAGGACAGAGAAGAGAGTGGCTTGAGGGGCGTAGAGGGGCGCCCCACGGAAGAGGGCCGAGCCACCTGGTCCCTTGGGGTCGAGCTTCAGGGCAAAAGAGCGCTTGGTGCGTGGCAGAGGAGTATAGGGGAGCGGGGCTCCAGGGGGCGCGGGAATGGGGGATCGGGCCCTCCCAACAGTCAGGGAGCTCCTGGGGCAGGGGGCCCGAGTGGTGCGTCGGGGGTGAGCCGGCCGGGCGGAGCGGCGGCCGGTTTATTTTTACTCGGTGGCATTTGCAGAATGTGCAGCTGATGGCCGTCGGCCGCCAGGAAGTTTTGCTTTCTGTTCTTTCTCTCTTTCCGCAGCCAGCGCAGCCCGGAGCGGGAGGGCCCGGGAACCGGGCCTGGGAGGGGAGGGGGCGACCACTGGGGTGGCAAGGTCCGGGGCAGGGGCGCACTGGGCGGCGGGCAGGAGCTGCTGGGCGAGGGCAGCGGGCTGGCGCTGGGTCGCTGCGCAGCTTTTGGGCGAACGTCCGTCCCCAGCGTTGGAAGCTCCTCGCCGGCGGAGGGGAACAGGTGTATGCGCCGTCAATCACGGCCGGAGGGACACCGGGGGCGTAGATTAAAATAATAATAATAGATTTTTTTCTAGGAGGTGGGTGCAGATTCTTCTTCTCAGGGATCCCCAGCCCGGGTCGGAGTTGGGGGAGAAAGAGTGCCTGTGGTGGCAGGGGCCGCTTCTCCGACACTCCAGTTCCTCCCGAGCCACCTCGGCCTGGGAAGCCGGCCCGGGGGCGAGGACCTCCGTCCAGCCACGCTGGGGAGGGTGCGGGTGAGGGTGCGGGTGTGGATGATTTGTTCACCAGGGAAGCAGCGAAAACATCCCACCCATGAGCTTGGAGTTCCCCCCAAACCCGGCCGGACCAAAGGGCCACTGGGGGGTTCTGCGTCGCGGCCCCAACAGAGTCTGCAGGCGCGACCCTCAGCATGTGTGCTCGGCCCACCAACACCCCGCACACTCCGAGAGGTGAGGGCAGCGAGGGGAGAGAGGCCAGGGCAGTCGATGGGCAAAGTTGGTAAATGTAGGAGGTCTCCAAGCGGGTGTAGACGCGCGCTGAGAGCGCGAGAGGGGACTGGAAACAGATCGCTGGGTAAAGGGGTGGCGCCCCCCCTCCTCCGCGCCCACACCATGGCACGCGCGCGGGACACACACACACACACACACACACACACACACACCACGAACGTCGCTGTCCTAAAGGGAGCTGTCCGGGCTGAGCAGGAGCAGCTGCGCCGGGGCGTGGTGAGGGGGGTAGTTGGTCCCCCGGGGCTGCGCTCCACGTGCCCAGAGGGGGCGCTGGGCCTGCTTGGCGTCCGAGCGCACGGCTCCGTGATTTGCGCCCTGGTGGCGGCGAGGCGGTGCGTCGGCCGGGCAGCGCGTCCTGCGCCTTCTCCGGGACTGCGGCTCCCGCCCCCGGCTCCCGTCAGCGTCCCCACTTCCCAAACTTCGCTCTAAGGTTGGCCCTCACTCCAGCTCCTAGACCCTCTGCAGGGCAGGGCGGGGAACTTCTCCCTTCCCCGCAGTGGCCACCGTCTCTCTCCCGGAAACCGGCGAATTGGAGAGATAGCACCCCCCCCCCCCCATCTTGTTAGCCACCTTAGAGGCGGTTAAGGAGAGTTTATGGGGAATATTGTTGAACGTCAGTAATCAGGTTTCCAGCGATCTTATGCCTTCTGTTTAATTTATTAGACTAGTTATTTATTCTGTTGATGATAATCTGTTGCTGGTTTCTATGGAGATGTTAAACTGATCTCTTTCAGAAATCAAACTCCATATGCACTAAAACGTTTAAAGGGGCAGTACTTCCCTCTTTTTTTTCTTTTTCTTTTTTTTTTTTTTAGACTTTGCACCTTGCTGAGACTTAGCGTCTTTTCTCTGAGTCTCGGTGCATTTTATTTCCTTCTTACGAAGGAGAGGAGCCTGGAGACTCACGCTTTGTGGCAAGTACAGCTTATTATGGCTAGAAGAAAGCAAAGGCTTTGATCCCTAAGTTGCATCATCATTTAAAACAGATCATTTCACCACCACCCCCTTCTACCCCATCATATAAGAGCAAAATTCTTTCAAGATCAAAGCGTCCGATCTAAAAAAAAAACACAAAACCCCAACTATTGTTTAAAAAAATAGGAAGTCAGTCAAATGTGAACCTCTCCTTTATATCTGCTCCCCTTGTGTTGAAGGAATTTTTTGAATAAGAAAAACAAAACTTGTAGCTCAGCTAATTTTTCATACTTATTAATAGTTTATCTTGCCCCCCCCTTCCTTAATTTAAAAAGAAGTTCAAAGTTAGATTTCTCTGCCTGTGGGGGTTGAGGTATATTTGCTTCTCTTTTAGATCCTGACCATCTGTTTTTGGAAAATTAGCCTCTGGGAAAAGGGGAAGGGTGTTGTGTGTGTGTGTGTGTGTGTGTGTGTGTGTGTGTGTGTTTAACTCAAACTTAATAGAATGCTTTAATTTTTTTTTAAATACTCAAATATTTCAAAGTCCCCATTTTCCTACTTTTTAAGAGAATATCAGTAAACCTCTGTCTGGGGTGGGAGAGCATAGCAACTTTTTCTCCTTCTCCCCTCTCCTCAGGGAGTCGTCTGTGGATTTGTGACTTTGAGAGGAGTGGGTGCAATGAATTAAGCAAGTAAAGCAGGGGGGAAAAATTATCTTGGTTTGTGACACTCTGAAAAATTGCAAACCTACTCCGAACTCCGATGTTTATCACGCTGACAGATATGATACAAAGCGATTGCATTTCCTAATGATCCTTTGGGACTACGTTGTAGGTAAAACCATTCAATGCATTTTTAATATTAAAGTAAGGCCTGGGTTCCATTTTCTTGGAGGTGGGGGGAGTGGAGGTCGCTCTCTAGAGCGGATGCTTTCTGAGTATACTTTCCTTTTCCAACTTGAGCCACCCCCCCTCCACCCCTGCCCATTTCCATTCACTTTGGGGAGGGGTGAGCCACACACAGGGCATTTGGCTTTCATAAATAAATTTATATCTGGCCAGAAGGTCCAGTGCTAAATAAGAGCACACTTAAAAAAAAAAAAAGAAAAAAAAAGAAACCTCAAACTCCACCCCTGCCATAGGAAATAAAACAGAGGTAATTCTTGACCCCCCCTCCCCCCCATTAGCCATCCTGCTTCTCTTTTAAATTATTCCATTTTGGAAGGGTGTTGCTTCTCAGCTCAAGGGAGAATTAAGGGAGAATTGCTATATTTTAAATTTGGATGGGCAAACAGAACAGAGGCTTAAGCATAGAAAAGAACACTGTAGCTTAAACTCCAGGAGTTTGCATAATCTCCTTGTAATCTCTCCCCTTTGCTCATAATTGTGTTTGTTTTCAGAGCAAATATGTGCATATCACTGGCCGAACGGGCGCAGGTTTATGTGCTTTTCTGAAAGCATAAGCTACAAGTAAGTAATTTAAATGGACTTCTTTTTTATTTCCCCTGGCGCTAAAGTTTAAAATAGATCATTCAAAGGAGAAGC